TTTTTTTTTTTTTTTTTTTCTTACCTCTTGGTTCACGAGCACCCCCGTTAACAACGAAAAGAAAAGAAAAGAAAAGAAAAGAAGAAGAAAAAAAAAGAAAAGAAAGAGAAAAAAAAAAGGAAAAGAAAAGTCTCAAAGAGAGAATTAACAAGAGTCTACAAATACACAAACGCTTAAAAATAGAGCACATGATGATCATAAGAGCGAAGAAAAGAGAGCACGAAAACAATAATAAAAAAAAGCATTCCCTGGTAAGGTTGACGGAGTGTTTGGAGTTGGAGTGTGGATTAAAAATTGCTCAGCAATACATTCCGTCGTTTTTGCATTTTTCTTTTTTTTTTTTTTGTTTGTTTTCATTTGCCTCCGCATACTTTTGGTGCATTTATGTCGCTTTTTTGTTTTGTTTTGTTTATTCATTATTATATGTTATTTTTTTTTTGTGTGTCTTTTTTTTCGTTTTTTTTTTTTTTTTGCTTTTGTTTTCACTATGTATTTCAAACTATAGTTACTTTGATTTGTGTTTTTCTCTTTCTTCTTTCTCTTTTTTTTCTTGATTTTCTCACTGATTTTACTGTCGTGAAATTAAAAGAAAGAAAAGAAATTATAGCAGCAGTTAACAAGAAACTTACTTACCCAGAGATTTATCTGCTCCCCTTTATTATTAGTGTTGTTCCTTCTGCAACACCTCCTATTGTGAGTCTGCCGAGAGTAATACTGAGTGTATAAGTAATATATATATATATATATATATATATGGAAGGATGTCTGTCTTGGCTAACTGGAGGCAGCTGTGTTCCAGTACGGCGGGGATGCATGCTGCTGCAACACAACGCGAAGCACTCCTGCGTGATTTGGTGACACTAAGCGACTCCCTTGCGGCGGATGTAGAATCACATCTCAGCAATAGTATGAACCGCAAGAGTGACGCAACAACGTCCTCTGCACTCGTTACACTTCAACGTCTCCGCAGAGAACGCGTGCAGAAAGAAATGAACCGCGATGATGCCGAATTTGAGCAACGGTGTATAGCTGCTACTCAGGAAAAAGTTGATGCGCAGACACTCTCTTGTGTATCGTCGTTAACTTTTGGGTCCTCTGTCACCGCTACTGATGAGGAGCAAAATATGGTAAATACACTACCACACAGACTTGAACTAGGGTCTGAGACTTCTAATGACAATAATAATAATAATAATAATAATAATAATAATAATAGTGACAGTAATGGTAATAAAGCTAAAACAGATAGCTGGAGTGTATTGCTTGATGAGATGATACACCAACGAGATGCACTGCGGGACGAGGTATCAGAACTTCGACGCAAGAATGAATTTGTTGCTATTCTTCAAGAACAGCTGCAACGTGGAGTAGAACGTATTTCACGCACTGCAGATGTAGTTCTCATGGACCATACTGCCTTTGATGCCCTGCGCGAACTCTTTACTAAATTATTTAACTCATGTGAGGAGTGGCTCGCATTACTTGAGGGAATGGAGCAGTCAGCAACAGCAGCAGCAGCAGCGGCTCATGATAATGTAGGATTACAAGACGCAGAGGAAGAAGCACTACTGCACGAAATACATCAATCGCATGAATGCCAATATGTCATGTTACTTGCAAAGCAGGAGACGGAGAAGCGTGGGTACACAACACGGGTGGAAGCAGCCACTCTACATCAACAACAATATCAACAGCAGATGAAGAATGAACCTCGTAGTGACGACCATCGTCAGTTGTTGTCATCCATGTTACGCTCAGAGGCTGCGGCTGCAAATGCAGAGAATGAATACACCGCATTGCGGCTGCAGTACGCGGTGGAATGTTTAACACGACTTCAAGATGATAAACTGTCGAAAGACGGTGATGATGATGAACTCATGCGATATGTGTTGAAGGCACAGTCAGACACACAACGTTTAACACGTATTCTTGCACTTGTGAAGTCTATTGTTGTAAACTATGAAGTTGATATTGCCAAACTTCGACAAGTAAATCGTCTGCAACTCTCTTCTGTTGGATCAGGGTCACTCTCAAATGGTGAACGTGTTTTTAGGGCGATGCAGCAGGAGATCAAGACTGCTATCGTGCCATGTCTTGTAAATGAAAGTGAATCACGTCTCACTCGTCGTAGTCCCCGCAACTCACCTAATTGGTCGTTGACAAATTCGAAATTACAACGTAACTTCCCCGTACACCTCACAGAGGCCGTAAGACACGCACTGCTTGCACTTTCTGCTCTCTGGGATAATTTTTCAGAGAAGGAACGTGGGAAGATATGTGCAGCATCTAGTGAGATGATGACAAATGCACCGTTTTTACTCATGATTGGACGCTACGTTGAGGCTCGACGTCGTTGTAAGCGAGTACAAAGGTCTCCCAGTTGCAGTCTACTTCCACCAGAAGGTTTAATCTAATGTTTATATCTTGTTATTGCATCAAATATATTTTTTCGTTTGATTTTCATTAAGTGATATGTACAGGAAGAAAAAGAAATAATTAAAAAAAAAAAACGAAATAAATAATCAACAGTGTTCAAGTTAGTGAACTTGTACTGATTTGTTTGTCTTCCTTACTTTATTGCACTTGGTTTATTTATTTATTTATTTAGTTATTTTATTGATAATGAAGATATGATGTTATATGTGATTATCTTTGCTGTTAAAATGTATTATATTTTGTTTTCGTCACATTTTTTTTTCTTTCTTTTATTTTTTTCTTTTCTTAGTGTCACCGGCATATCCCCTTTACTTTAATTACATGAGCAGCAGTGAGGTTGTTGGTCTCACAGAGAATCACATTAACAGTTCTCCCTTGAATAGTACTATTACTAATGCTGCTGTTCCTTCTGATACTGGGGTAGATACTGTAATTCCTCCTCCTGGGACTTGTTCTACCGCAGAAGCAACAGAAAATGAAGAGATGGGAGACAATCAGTCAACAAAGCGACCAAAGCGAAAGGTTGCCATTATATTCGGGTACATTGGGGAACGCTATTGTGGTCTTCAATGGAACCATTTACCAGATTACCCCACTGTTGAGGAGGAATTACTTCGAGCTCTACACCGAACAGACATGATTTCAAAAGAAAACTACGATCAGGAAAAAGTTCAGCAAAAACTTAACTGGGAACGTGCTAGTCGTACTGATAAAGGTGTTCATGCATTACGTAATGTTATTTCGGTTAATATTATGCTCCCATACGCAAAAGGTTCAACTAAAGAATATGACACTCAGGAAGCGAAACGTCTATTAACAGAAGTATTACCAAGTGATATTATTGTTTATGATATTATTCCAGTTACTCGTAGTTTTAATGCTTACATGATGTGTGGGGCACGAACTTATGAGTACTATATGCCAACTTTTGCCTTTATGAGTCATGAAGAGTACTGCAAAACATACTTTCCACCTGATGTCGCCCCCTCACGGCCGACGTTAGAAGAGGTTGGAATGCTTGGAGTTGTACGTGAGAAGAATACTTCACTGGATGAGACCGAAACCACTTGTTCTGTGAATCAGTCCGGAATGAAACGCCCTCGTGAGGAAACAGAAGAAGAATGCGAGGGTATTAAGAACAATGACACGAATGAAGAGTTAACTAAAAAGGAACAGTTGGATGCTAATGATAACTGCGGCGACAAGGAAAATGAAAAAGACCGTGACAGTGACAACGTTAAGAGTAAGAATAACAGTAATAATAATAATAATAATAATAATAATAATAATAATAATAATAAGAAAAAAATGAATGCAGATGAAACTGTTGAGAAGTTTCATGATGGTCTATTTGAGAAGATGTTGGTGTTTCGTACTATCCCTGAAGAGACTATGCGTAATGTGGCCCGTTATCGCCTGACGGCTGATCGTCTCGAAGAGGTGAGACGTGTATTTCGGGAGTTTGAGGGAACACACTCTTATCACAATTTCACTCCTGGTGGACGTGCCAGTGATCCCTCATCTGCACGCTACATCACTTCTGTAACGGTTAGCGAACCGTTTATTGTAGACCCTGCTGACACTACAATGCTTGAGACTTTGCAAGAATGGAATCCCTCTCGAAGTTACTCTCCGGATGATGAAAAACTTCAACCACAAAAAGAAAAGAATGATAGTGATGTTGAGCAACAACGTCAAGAAATGCGTGAACATATGTTGCGTATTTATGGTAATAACTATGACGACGAAGGTAATACGAAGAAAAATGTTGGACTTGAAGTGGTACGTATTGAATTACATGGACAAAGTTTCATGTTTAACCAAATACGAAAAATGATTGGCGCAGTTTCCTCTATGTGCGCTGCTGGACAACCACCGGAGTATTTGAGGAATCATTTGCTAAACAAGTCTGTCCGTTGTGGCACGCCGATGGTGCCGGCGAATGGTCTCTTTCTTTCATATCTCGACTTCCAGCGGTATAATTACCGACTCACGCGCATTCAGCGTGAGGGCCGCAATGGTGGCAACAAGGAGGGTGTGTACGTTGATCGTGTGGATGAGAACGCGGTGTCAGAGTTTCGCCGTAAGATTGTAGCTGTAGTTCTACGTAATGAGATGGTGGGTGATATGATGGGACGATGGATGCGTTCCCTTCGACATGTTTTGCGGCTCGCGTGTAAAGTTGAACTGCCGTAACATGATGAGAGAGGGGAGATAAATATATTTCACTTATACTATTTACTATTTATTTTTTTTTCCTTTTTTTTTTTACTGTTTTGCATCTTCTTCTTGTTATTTGTAAGGTCCATTAGGAATAATGTCCAATTTCACTCTCCCTTCACCCTGTTAACATAATCTTTTTTTTTTTTTTTTGATCTTTTTTTTCTTTCTTTCTGATTACAGAGCAGACGTACACGCAAACGTAGCGGCAAGTGAGATACCGTATATATATATATATATATATATATATATATATATATATATATACGTATATATCTAGATAGATACTCTTATATATATACATAGCAGACAGGCCCCTTTATCTATCTATCTATCTCTATATATTCCAATATAAATGTCTATGTGGGACGTTGTATCGCAGGTCGGCCGGGCGGCGTACCGCACGGCGGCGAAGACGGGCCTCGCGGCGGGGACGGAGCAGCCGCCGTATCCCTGCGCCCTCCCGCTGCAGCGCCTCGAGGACGCCAGCGACACCCAACGCGTGCAGGAACTCCTCACTGGCATCTTCACAGCCGCCAAGGATCTTCTCGAGAACGACGCCGAGCACCGCTGGCACCTTGTCGACTACCAGGACCCAGACAAGGGCGGAGATCTCCATCTCTTCACACGCCCACATATTGGACCCTTCAACTTTGCAAAAGCCACCGTTTCCTTCATGGGTGTCACCCCACAGCAGGTCCTCGACACCATGCATGGAGACAATCCAGAGAGCCGAAAGAAGTACTCCGCGAACCTCTCTACATTTGAGATTCTCGCAAGACCAACTCCAACCTCAAACATTCAATACCACGAATATTGGGCACCTCCCCCAGTCTCAGGACGCGAATTTGTCTTCCTCGCAGAACAGAAATATGTGGAACAAGATGATGTATACTATGTATATGGTTGTAGCATTGATTACGCACCACGCGAAAAGAAGTCCAACAACCATGTACGTGCCTCATGCCTTTGGGGATGGGAACTTACTCCTATCGGTAATAACACCATGGCCACCTATGTGAGCTGCATGAACCCGCGCGGATGGACACCAACGTTCATTATGGGATGGCTCAAGTCTGAGATTGGGAAGGAGTTGGTCTCCTGCCGACGCGTACTATATGGAGAGGCGGTCAATCTGGAACGAACTGAAGTGGAAAGGAATGAAAATGACGGTCTTGATGCTCGTGATATTATGGAGGAGGGGGAGGAGAACGAAGAGAATGTGGAACTGAATCCCGTGGGTGAAAATGTACACTGCCATTGATATCAAGGAGCCCTCCCACTATGGGGATGTATGCATTAAAGAAAGGTAAAACAACAAAACGAGGAAAAGAAAAGAAAAAGAGCAACCAAAAAAAAAAAAAAAAAAAAAAAAAAAAAAAGAAAAAAAAA